GTATATCAGTATGTAGTCTCTACTTTAAAGAGTCCTCTCCTGCTGATGTTCAGGTGTATATCAGTATGTAGTCTCTACTTTAAAGAGTCCTCTCCTGCTGATGTTCAGGTGTATATCAGTATGTAGTGTCTCTACTTTAAAGAGTCCTCTCCTGCTGATCTTCAGGTGTATATCAGTATGTAGTGTCTCTACTTTAAAGAGTCCTCTCCTGCTGATGTTCAGGTGTATATCAGTATGTAGTGTCTCTACTTTAAAGAGTCCTCTCCTGCTGATGTTCAGGTGTATATCAGTACGTAGTGTCTCTACTTTAAAGAGTCCTCTCCTGCTGATGTTCAGGTGTATATCAGTATGTAGTGTCTCTACTTTAAAGAGTCCTCTCCTGCTGATGTTCAGGTGTATATCAGTATGTAGTGTCTCTACTTTAAAGAGTCCTCTCCTGCTGATCTTCAGGTGTATATCAGTATGTAGTCTCTACTTTAAAGAGTCCTCTCCTGCTGATGTTCAGGTGTATATCAGTATGTAGTCTCTACTTTAAAGAGTCCTCTCCTGCTGATGTTCAGGTGTATATCAGTATGTAGTCTCTACTTTAAAGAGTCCTCTCCTGCTGATGTTCAGGTGTATATCAGTATGTAGTGTCTCTACTTTAAAGAGTCCTCTCCTGCTGATGTTCAGGTGTATATCAGTATGTAGTGTCTCTACTTTAAAGAGTCCTCTCCTGCTGATGTTCAGGTGTATATCAGTATGTAGTGTCTCTACTTTAAGAGTCCTCTCCTGCTGATGTTCAGGTGTATATCAGTATGTAGTGTCTCTACTTTAAAGAGTCCTCTCCTGCTGATGTTCAGGTGTATATCAGTATGTAGTGTCTACTTTAAAGAGTCCTCTCCTGCTGATGTTCAGGTGTATATCAGTATGTAGTGTCTCTACTTTAAAGAGTCCTCTCCTGCTGATCTTCAGGTGTATATCAGTATGTAGTGTCTCTACTTTAAAGAGTCCTCTCCTGCTGATGTTCAGGTGTATATCAGTATGTAGTGTCTCTACTTTAAAGAGTCCTCTCCTGCTGATGTTCAGGTGTATATCAGTATGTAGTCTCTACTTTAAAGAGTCCTCTCCTGCTGATGTTCAGGTGTATATCAGTATGTAGTCTCTACTTTAAAGAGTCCTCTCCTGCTGATGTCCAGGTGTATATCAGTATGTAGTGTCTCTACTTTAAAGAGTCCTCTCCTGCTGATCTTCAGGTGTATATCAGTATGTAGTGTCTCTACTTTAAAGAGTCCTCTCCTGCTGATGTTCAGGTGTATATCAGTATGTAGTGTCTCTACTTTAAAGAGTCCTCTCCTGCTGATGTTCAGGTGTATATCAGTATGTAGTGTCTCTACTTTAAAGAGTCCTCTCCTGCTGATGTTCAGGTGTATATCAGTATGTAGTGTCTCTACTTTAAAGAGTCCTCTCCTGCTGATGTTCAGGTGTATATCAGTATGTAGTGTCTCTACTTTAAAGAGTTCTCTCCTGCTGATGTTCAGGTGTATATCAGTATGTAGTGTCTCTACTTTAAAGAGTCTCTCCTGCTGATGTTCAGGTGTATATCAGTATGTAGTGTCTCTACTTTAAAGAGTCCTCTCCTGCTGATGTTCAGGTGTATATCAGTATGTAGTGTCTCTACTTTAAAGAGTCCTCTCCTGCTGATGTTCAGGTGTATATCAGTATGTAGTGTCTCTACTTTAAAGAGTCCTCTCCTGCTGATGTTCAGGTGTATATCAGTATGTAGTGTCTCTACTTTAAAGAGTCCTCTCCTGCTGATGTTCAGGTGTATATCAGTATGTGTGTCTGCTACTTTAAGAGTCTCTCCTGCTGATGTTCAGGTGTATATCAGTATGTAGTGTCTCTACTTAAGTCCTCCTGCTGATGTTCAGGTGTATATCAGTATGTAGTGTCTCTACTTTAAAGAGTCCTCTCCTGCTGATGTTCAGGTGTATATCAGTATGTAGAGTCTCTAATTTAAAGAGTCCTCTCCTGCTGATGTTCAGGTGTATATCAGTATGTAGTGTCTCTACTTTAAAGAGTCCTCTCCTGCTGATGTTCAGGTGTATATCAGTATGTAGTGTCTCTACTTTAAAGAGTCCTCTCCTGCTGATGTTCAGGTGTATATCAGTATGTAGTGTCTCTACTTTAAAGAGTCCTCTCCTGCTGATGTGCAGGTGTATATCAGTATGTAGTGTCTCTACTTTAAAGAGTCCTCTCCTGCTGATGTTCAGGTGTATATCAGTATGTAGAGTCTCTACTTTAAAGAGTCCTTTCCTGCTGATGTTCAGGTGTATATCAGTATGTAGTGTCTCTACTTTAAAGAGTCCTCTCCTGCTGATGTTCAGGTGTATATCAGTATGTAGTGTCTCTACTTTAAAGAGTCCTCTCCTGCTGATGTTCAGGTGTATATCAGTATGTAGTGTCTCTACTTTAAAGAGTCCTCTCCTGCTGATGTTCAGGTGTATATCAGTATGTAGTGTCTCTACTTTAAAGAGTTCTCTCCTGCTGATGTTCAGGTGTATATCAGTACGTAGTGTCTCTACTTTAAAGAGTCCTCTCCTGCTGATGTTCAGGTGTATATCAGTATGTAGTGTCTCTACTTTAAAGAGTCCTCTCCTGCTGATGTTCAGGTGTATATCAGTATGTAGTGTCTCTACTTTAAAGAGTCCTCTCCTGCTGATGTTCAGGTGTATATCAGTATGTAGTGTCTCTACTTTAAAGAGTCCTCTCCTGCTGATGTTCAGGTGTATATCAGTATGTAGTGTCTCTACTTTAAAGAGTCCTCTCCTGCTGATGTTCAGGTGTATATCAGTATTCAGAATAAACAACAACAACAACATGTAATCAAACACACCGAGCGCGTCGTCATGGAAACCATTAGCTTTTATTGTTATAGAGATTTTTTTTTTTTTTACAAAATGTGCTATTCCCTCAAATATTTCAGAATGTTTTTCACATAATAGATTTGTGCCAATTTTCAGTTTCACCATTTTCAGACGTACAACAGACTAACTACAGACAAATACAAAAAAAATAATCAAGTAAGTCACCTTGGCATGAGGACGCCGGTTAGAGCCGAGTCCTGGTGGTCCAATAAATGCAAATCTAGTTTATGACCTGTAAGAAAAGCTTCATGTTTGAGCAGCCTAAGCATGACGCGTCTGTTTGTTACACGTTAGAGTGATATAGTGCATTACGGTGAATATTAAAGGCTTGCAGTGAAATGAAGGACACTGAGAGCCTGAGGTCGCTGGTTGCCAAGACAACGATGCAACGCCAGATTCAATCTACATATTCAGAAAGGATCATCATAATAATAACAAAAGGCCCTAACAGTGATTCGTACCATCCTTTTCCCACAATTTCAAACACACTAAATGTTCCAGCAGTCAGTTACACAGAGGTCCCCTCCACGACAAACTACGAACTAGGATCCAGCGTCAGCCGTCGCCTCCACTTTAAAGTGTTTCAAACCTCGCAGACGGAGGAATGAGTCACGTTATATTAATGTCGCGGGCTCCACTGAGGCGTTAGTAATACTGTCTCATCATTTGTCCAATTCATTTTAGAGAAAACAAGAGAACGGGAACAACGTGACCTTATTCCCCACATCAATGATTCATTTAGTCTGTGAATGTTTGGTACGGAGGCTAACAGATGCTAACGTGCTACAACGAACCTCGTCCATCAGGAGGAACTCTGCAGCTTCAGAAAGGATGCAGGTGTAGAAACACAAAGGTTCCACGTGAAGAAACATCTCCAGAACAACACGTGCAGCTTTTAGAGAACATTCAGCAGCTTGAGGAGACATGAGCAGCTGGAGACCAGGGGACACTAAAGAGTGACGCACACAGCTGGGAGACCAGGGGACACTAAAGAGTGACGCACACAGCTGGGAGACCAGGGGACACTAAAGAGTGACGCACACAGTGTCCCTGGTCTCCAGCTGTGTGCGTCACTCTTTAGTGTCCCCTGGCCTCCCAGCTGTGTGCTGCCATGTCTCCTCAAGTTGCTGAATGTTCTCTAAAAGCTGCACGTGTTGTTCTGGAGATGTTCCGTCACGTGGAACCTTTGTGGTTCTCCACCTGACTCCTTCCTGAAGCTGCAGAGTTCCTCCTGAAGAGTTTTTAGCCGTTGTAGCTCGTTAGCATCTTTCTTCCTCCGTAGTTCACCAAGCACCTAAACTACGACCCGGTCCCCTCCAATCACAGACAGTAATTCAAGTCAATACAATATTTAAAAACCTTTGTATAACGTACAACAAAAACCCAAACACTACATAACACAATAATAAATCCAGGGGTTCAAAGTGATTCAACACATCTCTGTACTTCCTGTGGAGCGTTAGCTAGCTGCGCTGTATTGCCACGAGTCACGTTAGGAATGAGTTTAAGTTACAACAACTGCTTAAAGTCGGGTTAGGGAGCATCGAGGAAGTCCAAGGGGATGAGTTTAAGTCGTTTTGTCTCTCAAGATGATTTAAGAGAGAAGCAGCATTTAAAGACATTGACTTACAGACAGGCCTCAGATCAGTTCAGAGATGGAGTTATTAAAGTCCAATGTGATGAGTCTGGAAGTCTTCTGCTGCTTCATAGGATATCAAAGTGAGAGAAGCAGCATTTAAGAAGCTGAAAACGCAATATTCTTTCACGTGGAATGACTTTTATGTTAAGCGATAATGAAGATATTAGTAGATGATGTCTCCTGATGTGTGCAGGGGGTGAGTGACGGTGTCTCCTGATGTGTGCAGGGGGTGAGTGACGGTGTCTCCTTGGGGTCTCCTGATGTGTGCAGGGGGTGAGTGACGGTGTCTCCTGATGTGTGCAGGGGGTGAGTGACGGTGTCTCCTGATGTGTGCAGGGGGTGAGTGACGGTGTCTCCTGATGTGTGCAGGGGGGTGAGTGACGGTGTCTCCTGATGTGTGCAGGGGGTGAGTGACGGTGTCTCCTGATGTGTGCAGGGGGTGAGTGACGGTGTCTCCTGATGTGTGCAGGGGGTGAGTGACGGTGTCTCCTGATGTGTGCAGGGGGTGAGTGACGGTGTCTCCTGATGTGTGCAGGGGGTGAGTGACGGTGTGAGAGCAGCCTCAGGAGTCTGTAACAGCAGAGAGACGTCTCCTCGGCTCAGAGAGAGAAGCAACGTGTGGCTGCAGATCCTTAGGAGTGTTATGAAAAGGTAAGTCCTGCAGCTCAGGGTGTGTTTCTACAGGCAGACTGAGCTTCAGGTGATTCCTTTAAAGAGAGGGGGGGTCTGTTCTGTCTCTGGAGCCCGAGCTGTGACGCGTTGCAGCTTCAGAGACGCCTCAGAAACACAGATTGCCCAGCAGGAGGAAAGTGATCAGTAAGTATGATCGCCTGGGTCTCCGCTAACGCCCCGTGTTGCATTCAAGTTCTTACGGTTTCAAACTCTATGAAACATCTCCTGCAGACTAACCCACGTCTCATGTATCCATTGCATCATCGCTTCGTCAGAAACACGTGACTTTTCACCGTGAATTGCATTTCTCAGAGCAAGCAGTGGACTCCGTGTGAGGGCGTCTGCTTCAGAGGAGATGAACACAGCTGATTTACAAAGGCTGCCTTTAAACTCGTTCTGGGTCTCTGATTGGTCAATCTGCTTTACACGTCTTTTTACCGTTTTGAGTGTGTTTGTTTTTCATCTATTCATAGCGTATTCATGTCTCCTCGTAGCCTTCCTGGCCGTGTGAAGTCGTCACTGTGTCTCTGATTGTTCTGAGTGTATTTGTAGTCATTGAATGTCTTTTATAGGAGGCTTCTCTCTTAGTCATGGATCCACTTAAACCGAAACAGAAGAGAGACCAAAGAAATGAGTTTGTAAAGCGTGTTTTCATTCACTTCACTGAGACTCTTCTCCATCTCTCTGACCTCTCGTTCCCCCTGGAGAGTAAAATGAAGTGATCTTCTTGACTTCAAAGCAACACGGGGAGAGAGGAACAGAGGGTCCTCTGAAGCTGCATGAACCCTTTGACCCCTGCAGTGTGAAGTGGAATAAGTTAAGGTGTGTAACACGAGCCGCTCATACTGGTGGTCAGGACTAATCATCTCCGTGTCCGTATGTACATTAAAGTGAGCAACAGTACAAGGCACACATCCCGCAGCTGAGCGCCACAGAGATATAAATAACGCTCCTCTCACTGTCCAGCGTCACTTCCTGTCTCCAGCCTCCGTTCCTTTCTCTTTAAAGTGTCAGAGGTGGCGCTGTTTGTTTCCCAGCATCCTCTCTGTTGTGCAGCGTGTTTCCCAGCATGCTCCCTGTTGTGCGGCGTGTTTCCCAGCATGCTCTCTGTCAGATGGAGTCCACGAAGCTGCCGGGGAACAGGCCCGTGCGTCCGTTCCTCTGCAGCGTTCCTTTGAACCAGCCGTCCTCTCTCTTCCGGTGGACGAACACCACGTCGCCCTCCTTCAGCTCCAGCTCCGCCTCGCTCTGAGGGGGGTAGGACACCACCACCCTGTACCTGCGCACACACACACACACACACACACACACACACACACACACACACACACACACACACACACAGTCAGAGCTCTGTGACCCCCACAGTGCAGTGGGGGGGGGGAACGACAGCTACCTGAAAACACGTGAGTTGTGTGTTGTTGCGGTCTGCGTCACGAAGACTACAACTCCCATGATGCCTTGTAATACAAACACCAGACTTAAAGGTCTCCTATCATGCTATTTTTAAGGCATATATTATGGGTCTCAGATATATACAAATATATAAAAAACATATCTATGATGTGTTTTGCTCAAAATACCAAACAGATCGTGCATTTTAGAAATCCCTCATATCGCTCTATTTTCAAGCCTGTTAGAGAATGGCTGATTCTCTGCTGGCCCCGCCCCCTTTGAGCTGCTGGCCCCGCCCCCTTTTGAGCACGGCAAGGCAAGCAGTGAGTTCTGTTCAGATTCAGCTAAATGCTGCCGTGATGAAACTCCATATCATGTTCCAAACCACATGAAGGATTCTCTCTGAAACAGTATGGAGCTCAAACTCTTTCTCTCTCTCAGGTTTACCACAAGGTGACTTCCTTTTGATTTCCTGCTTCTTCACACATGCTCTCTCCAGTACAGGTTAGCTCTGAGTGTTAGCGATGCTAATGTAAACACAGACCATATTACTTCCAGAACACGTCTCATTGTTTCTGACAGCTACGTTTCTGATTGGCCCGTGGGGGTAAAGCCCGCCCACATTTTAGTAATGTGGTCATGACGCAGCAAATCTGGATCAGCTCCGTTGTTCCCCCGTTTTTAGAGATGTGGGTACGGAGGAAAAGAGAGAGGGGTTTATTTCCTGACACTTTGAGAGTCTCCTGACACACCGGGGGACACACAGGGGACACACCGGGGGACACACCGGGGGACACACCGGGGGACACACCGGGGACACACCGGGGACACATAGTGACATCAATAGATAGACATCGATAGGAGACCTTTTACTGAGAGAAAGTACACACTGAGCGTTAAACCCCTGAACAGATCTCGTACCTCTCGCAGATGATTGGCCGGCTGTCCTGGTGCTGGGAGAGGAGGGAGGAGCATGGCTGGCGGGGGGGCGGGGCGATGGGAGCCCCTCCCTCTGAGGGGCCGCTCCTTCTATAGGAGACCTCTGGAGGGGGGGGCTCGGGGTCCTGGATCCCAGAGGAGGGGGAGGAGCCTGTTGTTTCAGGGCCTGAAGCACCGTGAAGCCCCTCCCCCGCAGCAGCTAGCTCCGCCTCCAGCGTGGGGGAGGAGGGCGGAGAGGGGCGGGGCTTCTTCTTATTGGACAGCAGCTTCAGGAGGCTCTTCTTCTCTCTCTGCAGAACACAAACAGCAGGTTATTTGTAGAGTTCAATTCAAATCAGGGGTGAATACTTGTCTTATCCAAACTGCCGTAAGCACAATATTTATTAAAAGGCAGAATATTTGTAATTATCTGAATGAATAAATCCTTGTTTGGTTAAAAAAACTCACACATCATAATTATTTTAACATATTTTTCAATTTAAGTGTAAATAATGCTTCAAAAATAATCGTTTCTGCAAAAATATCAAATATATTAGAATTGCAAGATCACAAAAAAAGTATTAAAGTATAAAAGTATTATTGAGAGCTGCATGATTAGAAAAGATAAATAAATGGTGGTCATGAAGGAGCGTCCCCCCACCTTGCCGTCCTTGTCCAGCCTGCAGGGGGGGGCGATGTTGACGGCCAGGGGTCTCAGCACGTCTTCCTCCAGGGAGGCGGCGCTGACGTTGGGGGGGGTGAGCGAGGCGGCGGCACAGCCCATGGCCGCCGCCACCCCCCCTCGGCTGCAGCACTGAGAGGGGGGGGGCTGCAGGGGGAGGAGGTAAGAGCCGGGGGGGGGGCGGCTGCAGGGGGGTCGCCGGGGGCCGCTCCTGACACGCTCCTGGAAAACAACATTTAAGTTTTTATCAAGATGAATTTATTTTATTTAACATTTTAAAAGTTTTTTTTTTCGCATTGTATACAAACCGTTTTATAGACAAAGATAGTCACTAGGACAGCAGTTCCCAACCTGTGGGCCGCGGCCCCCTAGTGGGTTGACAACCAAAAACCACCAAAAACACAACATGGCATATTAATAGTTCCTTTAATCCCACTCTTCCTTAGAGCTCATTATTTCCCATTTCATGGCGCGATGAGCCTTTGATTTTTAATCTACTCTTCAAACACCTTCAATTAAGATTACTCCTTGACTGACTTTTAAAAATATGTATTTTAGCCAGAAGAATAGTTGTATTTATTAACTTTGTGCGGTCTTCATCTAAAAGCCCAAATCAAATATTAAAGGGTGTAAATGTAAATTCAATATTTGCCACCAAATAATTAGCAAAACATTATGATTTGTGTGGAAACTCCTTTCCTTTCTCTTTCTTGATCCTCCTTAGCAACGGTCATCACAGTCCTTAGCAACGGTCATCACAGTCCTTAGCAACGGTCATTACAGTCCTTAGCAACGGTCATCACAGTCCTTAGCAACGGTCATCACAGTCCTTAGCAACGGTCATTACAGTCCTTAGCAACGGTCATCACAGTCCTTAGCAACGGTCATTACAGTCCTTAGCAACGGTCATCACAGTCCTTAGCAACAGTCATCACAGTCCTTAGCAACGGTCATTACAGTCCTTAGCAACGGTCATCACAGTCCTTAGCAACGGTCATTACAGTCCTTAGCAACGGTCATCACAGTCCTTAGCAACAGTCATCACAGTCCTTAGCAACGGTCATTACAGTCCTTAGCAACGGTCATCACAGTCCTTAGCAACGGTCATCACAGTCCTTAGCAACGGTCATTACAGTCCTTAGCAACGGTGATTACAGTCCTTGATAGCGGTCTGTTCTACTGGATTAACAACGTGTCACATGTTCTGAATCGATCAATCAGAACTTTATTTAGCCTCCGTATTGTTTACGGTTGAATGTTAGACTCTAAAGTGGGCCCCGAGGGGAAAAAGGTTGGGAACCGCTGCTCTAGGAGAACCAGTTAATGGTTTCTAACATTAACTGTAAAGTTTCTATGAAAGTTTTTCCTTGTCTGATGTGAGGGTCCGAGGACAGAGGGGGTCGTATTGATATTCACTGAGACAAATCTAACATTTCTGATATTGGGCTATGTAAATAAACATTGATTGATTGATTGATTGATTGATTGATTAAATCCCCACCTGTCCTGGCGGCGTTTCTCGCCTGGTTGACGGTCATCATGGAGCTGAGGTGGGGGGGGGCTTTGGGCTGCTGGCCGGTGGCTGTCTGCCCTGCAGGGGGTGGGGGGTTAGCAGGGGGAGGGGGGTTAGCAGGGCCTTTCTGTGGGTCTGGAGCCCCCCCTGCAGACGAGGGGCTGACAATGGAGACGCCTCGGCCCGCCTGAGCGGCCAGAGTCAGGGGGACTTTGGGCTGAGAGCTCCCTGACGCCGTCCTGGAGGAAGAGGGGGGAGAGGAGGGGGGGGAGAGGAGGGGTTAGCATGCTTTATAGAAACAATAGCTAGCTTTAAACACGATCAATATGCAAAACACCAAGAAAAGTTCACGCTAAACTGTTATGGATGTTCGTGGGGAAGTTCAGGGTCAGAGCATCAACAGAAACACAGGACTTCATATATAACCCGTGTTTTATTTTATTTTATTTTATTTCTACCTGTGTTATTTACGTTCTCAGGGTTATTACTGATTTGATTTCTGTGGAATTGTTGGGGATTTGAGACCTTCCACATGTCGTTAAAGAAACTGTTCCTCTAAATCGGAGGACTAGTGGATGTAAAGGGGAATGTGAGAAAATAACTAATAAAGAATAAGTAAAAAAAAAAAGAAACCCAGGTAGCAGACATGGGAATAAACACGGGGATAATACCAAGACAAATTAAATACGAATCCCAACATTAATAACAAAAAATAAGTACATTAAAAGGTAAAGAGTTATGAAGATAATAGAGAAGAGCTGCGACGGACCGTTATCTTTAAAATCCCACACCTGTGTTTATTAATATAGAGCAGGGGGGTCAAACTCTATTTCATCACGGGTCACATTAAGGTGGCACTCAAAGGGCCGGTTGTAACTTTACGACTATATGAATATATAATAAAGTAATGTATTATATATTCATAATTGCCTCTGCATTGGATTATTATCTGATAGGGTAATAACTTCATAATTAACTACGTCTGAAAGCAGAAGTCTGGGGCGAATAATTGCAAGTCTCTTCAGTGCGCATGTCACAAAATGATTTTTTTTTTAAAGTCAGATTCTGGAAAATAAGTCAAAATAAAAGAGAAAAGTAAAATTCTGCTGAAAAAAATTCTGATTTGAAGAAAAAAGTCAAATTTGAGTTAAAAAAAATGGAGATGCATTGTGGGACATGTAGTTTATGGGCACCGTGCTTCTGTAAAGCGGCATGTCACCGTATAATAAAGTTATGATATTCTTTCAGAGCTCTTGCGGGGCCACATACAATGAGGCTGTGGACCGGACATCTTGAGTTTGACCCCCTGCTTTATAGGAAACGGTTAAGAACCAGAATGAGATGACGAGGCCTACCTGCTGACGGGGCTCATGTAGTTCCCGGGGAACACTCCGATCTTCCCGGTGTGCATGGAGGTCCCTTTGAACCATCCGTCCTGACAGCGCTCCAGAACCAGGAACATCTCCCCCTTCCTCAGCTCCAACTCGTCCTCCTTACGGGGGCCGTAGGGGAACATCGCCACGTAGCTGCAGCGAGGACACACAACTCTTTCAAATACTGTCTGGAAAGGTCTTAAGGCTGCAGATGGACCTCCAGCTACAACAGCAGCAACGTGACTTTGTGTTCGATTGGACTCCGCACCATGGAAGGATTCATTGGAGTTGTGAGGACGGTCAACCTTTAACCAATGGTTTAACATAAACTGCTATGTTCTATGAGAAACCAGAATGAAACTACATTCAGATTATAAAGATACATTTGTAATAGAAATGATGAAGAGTTTCAGAGGACGGGGGTCTCGGTTGGGGGTCTCGGTCGGGGGTCTCGGTCGGGATGCTTTCAGCCCGAGTGTGTTGTAGGGGTCGGAGCAGAACCGAGTGACAGATGAAAACAAGACGGAGCATGTAATTCTTCTCAGGTGTTCGTGGAGTAATGGGGTTAAAGGTCAGGTCAGATGAGACCCAGGAGACCCTCAGAATCTGACCCTCTCACTTGTGCACATGCTCTCACTGACAGACCCCCCCCCCCCCCCCCCCGACATCTCACTGCACATGTTAAGCCAGCGGGGTCCAAACCTTTTCCCCGAGGGCCACATACAGGAAAATATACGCAGAGATGGCAAAAGTACACACATCCTGTACTCAGGTAGAAGTACACACATCCTTTACTCAGGTAGAAGTACACACATCCTTTACTCAGGTAGAAGTACACACATCCTGTACTCAGGTAGAAGTACACACATCCTTTACTCAGGTAGAAGTACACACATCCTTTACTCAGGTAGAAGTACACACATCCTTTACTCAGATAGAAGTACACACATCCTTTACTCAGGTAGAAGTACAGATACTCGTGTTTAAAAATACTCTGGTAAAAGTAGAAGTACTGACTAAACTTCTTTACTCAAGTAGAAGTAAAGAAGTGTGAGTGTGTGTGTGGGATTGTGTGTCTGTGTGTGTCTGTATGTCTGTGTGTGTGTGTGTGTGTGTGTGTGTGTCTGTGCGTGTGTGTGTGTGTGTGTAACTCACACTGTGGGTCTCTGTCTGCCGCTCTGATCACTGACGCTGGGGGAGGGTCTCTGACCAGCAGCCAATGAGAACGCAGCACCATCAGCGGAGGATTGAGGGGGGGGAGGGGGGGGAGGAGGGCGAGCATCCTGGAGAGAGAGGGATGTTAGTTTCATGTAACAATCATTTCAGGATCTCTCCAACAACTGACTGTTGGTATTCGCTATTTGCTATTAATGAAATGAAGGCAGCGTGTTCGGCTCATTTTCAGGTTGATATTGATCATGTGTGTCCCTACTGTGACATGTTCCCACGCTCAACATTTTGAGATTGATAAAAGCTTAATTTTAAGAAAAAAGTAAGAATTATGATTTTTTTTTTAAAAGACCACATTTTTAAGATTTTCTGAAAAAGTCAATATTTTGACTTTTTTTATTTTCTGATCAAAAGTCAAAAAATCAAGAAATGTTATGAGAAGAGTGAGAATTTGAATTAATTGAAAAATCGTCATCGTTTCAGATTTTTTATTTTGGGAAAAAAAAGTCAGAATTATGAGATTTAAAAAAATAAATCAGAATAAAAAAATAGTCAGAATTCTGAGATGTTTTCATATTAAAGAGGACATGAGTGTGTGGGAGGGACCAGACCATTTACATGCACAGAAACCTATAGCAGGAGAGGGAACTCCACAGAGAGCAGAACAGCTTGAGATGTCCTCTCAGTGACGCAGACACACAACAGCAACCTGAGCAACATCAGAGCGGAGGAACCGGTCTGAGTCACAGACAGATCGGCTGTCGGGGGAATTCCTCTTTTATCCGAGACACAAAGCTGGGATGGTAAATGAAATATCATAAAAACATGTCTACAAACTTCAGAGCCAGTTTGTTCATCTCCTCTCGCTGCTTTAAAGAACGTCAGAAAGACTTTAGGGGAATGTTTGGATCGGTTTTAGCCACTAGATTACAGGATTGAACACCAAGCTGCTGGATAGGGCTGCGTCTAATGAGGATCTTCATCATGGATTATTATTATTATTATTATTATCTAGGTTACTCTTTGTGAATAAAAAGTCATGAGTCCACAAGATTCCAAGGTGATGTGCTTAAATGCCAAATATGTTAATTTAATTTGAAATAAAACTGAAAAAGCAGCAAATCTCCATTATTTCTGACACTTTTGCATTAAAAAATTATTTGTAAATGATATAGGAATAAAATATTGTTTAAAGGTCGGTTAATCGGAGGGTTTTCACGTAGAGCTTTTCTGTCTGTTTGCAGCCTCTGATCCTGAGGTGTGCTGCTTCTCTCTGTTCCATATTAACCAGAATATCTTTGGAATTTTTAAGATTTTTACATTTCTAGAAAAAGGTAAGAATTAAAAAAATTTGAGAAAGAAATTCAGATGTTGAGAAAAAAGTCAGATTTTATTTTTATTTGAGAAAAAAGCAAGAATTTTGAGAAAAAATAAGAATGAGGTTTTTTCTCAAAAAGTCAACATTTGGAGAATAAAGAATGTTTAGAGAAAAACAGAATTCTACAATCTTGAGATTTCAGAAAAAAAGTCAACATTTTGATAAAAAAGTAAGAATTTTGAGATTTAGGAAAAAAGTAAGAATTTTTTGAAAAAGTCAGAATTTTGAGATTTAGAAAAAAAAGTAAGAATATTTTGATTTTTAGAAAAAGGTAAGCTTTCTGAGAAACTGGGATTGTAGCCGGTAAAATGTCTAAAGTCTGTTTCCATTCTCTAATCCTGAGACGCGCTGCTTCTCTCTGTTTCTTATTAAGTTCTCTCTGCGTGCAAACAGCAGGACTTTAGAGACAGCGAGAGCCAGAGGACAGACGGAGTCAGACGGAGGCCCAGACAACTCCTCTTCCTCAGAGCAACATTAACTCCCCCCTCTCTGCCCCCACAGTGAGCCCAGAGACCCTCCCTCGGCCCGCGGTGTGTTCAAGTGTCGTTGTGCATTTGAGTTCTCTGCTGACGCTGGAGCTGAGATAATTAGGCTGCCTGCAGGCGAGAGAAATCATCTGTAGAGAAACATCACGTCAGATCCTCAGTGAAGCGTGCAGAGACCTCTGTGCTCACATTCCTGCTCACTCAGACTCCACACACACACACACACAAACACACATTAACACACACACACACACAGGAAGTGAGCGTGCTGCTTTCTGGGGGCTGCTGGGATTTCTGGACATTTCTAGTTGACATGATTTTTGCCTCCAGCAGAATAATGTTTCCTCGTGTCTGTGGAAAGTGTGTGACTTTATACTGACTTTGTTTGTTGTTGACTTTCACTGAAATGATAACGTTGGTGCATCTCGCTGAACAGTTTCACAGCCTCATGTATGTTGCATGTTTGTATTTGATTGTATTTAACGTAACAACGTAGTGTCTTAGCTTTCACACTTCATCAAATTTAGATTAATAAAACCTAATTAAAGTCTTGAAGGTAGAGGAGGAGAGCCACATGTTATACAGAAAACATTGAAGTGATTCATTTTTGTCTCTCTTCTGTCTTTACCCCAATTCATCTTCAAACACCTGCGAAGAATTACACGCACCGTCCTCAGAAATTCGGAGAAAATAAAAAAGAAATCTGACTTTATTTTCCGAATTCAGAATTCTGACCAAAATCTCTAAAATTGACTTTTTTCTCCAAATTATTAGAAAATTAATTGACTTTTTTCTCAGAATTTTGAATTTACCTTTGAATTCTTAGCAAAAATAATGCTGATAATCCTGACTTTAATAATTCAGATTTTCTTTCTCTGACTTCTATGATTTTTTTTCTCCTGATTTCTGATGTTTTTTCTGATAATTCAGACTTTCCAAAATCAGAATTCTTAAAAAAAGAAATCGGGAAGTTCTGACTTTTTCCCCCAAATCCTGACTCTGATCTTTCAATTCTTAGAAAAAAGAATTCTGACTTATTTTTCTCAGATTTCTTTAATTTCTTTCCTGAAAATTCTGACTTTGATCTCAGAAATTATGACTTTTTTTTTAATCCAATTTCTGACTTTTTTCCCCAAATCCTGACTTTGATCTCTGAATTCTTAGAAAAAATAATTCAGATTCTTTTTCTCCTGATTTCTGACTTCAAACTCACCGAATTCAAAGAAAGAAAGTTTGAGTTTCTAGTTGCACAGATGTGTCACCTCAAAGCAAAAACAATCACTAAAATAAATTACATTTTTAGAGAAATATATTGAACAATGAAAACAAGTCGATTTGAAAGCAGCTTCCCAGGTCTCAGCACATTTTATAATGTGACAGTGTGACAGTGCAACGATGTATTTTTAGGACGTACCACGGAGATGGAGGTGTAGCTCGACTCCGAGGGGAACGTGAAGACAGTTGCCGTGGTAACAGGACTGCTGGGGGGCGGGGTCACGATGAGTCCAGCTGTGCAAATGTGAACCTGTCAACAGAAGAGAAACGAGCACCATCAGAAACCCCCGAAATAAACTGAAATAAAACGACACGCTGCGAAACATGGAGAATAAAAAGGGATATTTATGATGTTAGAGAGAGGGTCTCTTTAGAATCAGTGTTTTATATATGATAGAAACAGACAGGAATGCTGCTGTGGATGCATTTTATATAGAACCTTGAATTCTTTCAGACATTTACCATATTGTTCCAGATATTTCATAGATATTTTAAAATCCCACATTGTCCAAATATGTTAAGGCATTTCTGATATTTTTTTATTAACATATTCTCTAATATTCTTTGGGGTCACTTTTCACATATTATTTTTGTAAATTTTTATTTATTCTCAAGACATTTTACATAAGTTTCCTTTCTTGTTTAGTGATTTATACATGATAGAAACAGACAGGACCAAAACCAGGATGTGTTGATGCATTTCAGTTACAAAAAAACCCCAAAACCTTGAATTCTTTTAAGACATTTACCATATTTCTTCAGATATTTCATAGATATTTTAAACAAGTTAAAATCCCACATTTTCCAAATATTTTAAGGCAGTTCTGACCTTTTTTTTTCAATTCTTTAAAATGTGTTCTTTAATATTTCTTGGCATCACTCTTCACATATTATCTTTGGAAATGTTGATTTATTCTTAAGACATTTTACATCATTTACCTTTTTTTTCTGTGTGATAGAAACAGACAGGAGCAAAAGGTGAAAAAAGATGCATTTTAGTTACCAAAAACATGAGTTTACTATATTAAGAATATTTTTAACCTTGGAGTGAAGGATTTATTCAGACATTTTCTTCCAGATATTTCATAATTTTTTAGGCACTTTTCGATTTAATATTTCTTTGCGTCATTCTTCACATATTATTTCAGATTTTTTTAATTTATTCTTAACCCATTTTACATAATTTCCCCAATTTCTTTTGTCGTCATTTCCAACAAATATTATGGATATTTTGAAGGTAACCCTGTGAACATGTCCCAACCGATGCTGAGTGTGAAAGGTGTTGAAAGCAGTCATTAAAAGCCTGTGTCTGCATGCATGACGGTCTGTAATGACACACCATCATATCAACATGAAAGACTAGAGATCCACTTCAGTGCAGACGTCTCCTCTCGCTGAGCGCTGCAGATAAAAGGTTCATGGAGGAGCTAATGGGCGGTTTCAGAGAGACCTTTGAGTGGAAACACAAACAAAGGAAAGAATCACCAAGCAACAAGCAGAACCTTTGAGTGGGAATCAATGCAGGAGGAAGCATCTATTAATATCCACAGAAACGTCTTCTATGGAGAAGAACTGGAGGACGACACGCTCTTTATTTTGTCACAGCACAGGGGACCTCTGCATTTAACCCATCGGTGCCTTGACACGTAAAGGGAATATTTCAGATCTAAACAAAAGTGATTTTTTTTTTTGTTCCCACAATTCTGAAATGTTTGTCTCAGAAAACAGAAATCTGAGTTATATTTTGATGTGAAATATTAGAAGAAATTGTTGACTTTTTCCTCAAAATTCTGACTTTCTTTCTCAAATTATTAGAAAAATTGTTGATTGACTTTTTTTCTCAGAATGTTGACTTTAATCTTCAAATTCTTATAAAAAAATATTCTGACTTTTTTCTGAGAATTATGATTTTTCGGTTCGGTGCCTTGCTCAAGGGCACCTCGGCAGTTACTAGGAGGAGAACTAGCACCTCTTCAGCTACCTCTGAACCAGTGACGTGTGGAAACCTAAAACATCAGTTTAATATATTTTGAATATTTTTTAAATCTAACTTTAGAGTTTCAGACATTTTCCATTTTTTTTCCAGATATTTCAGTATTTTTTTGCCACTTTTTACATATTTTTTTGACATATTCTTTAATATTATTTGGGGAAACTAATATTTCACATATTCATTCTGGAAAACAATGCAACATAAAACACAGCAAAGCTACCCTTTAGTTAGTTAAACCTACTTAGAAAGGGTAGTTCAAAAGCTACCTCCAGGGCTGGCTTCACGTCGTTTTAGTGGACGCTTTGAGTCACGCTTCCACGCTTTCAGACGCTCGGATGGAGCCACGGCTTGTTTGGTGTGATGGGGGGGGGACGGGGGGGACGGGGAGCTGGCCTAATTGCTGACAGAAGGACACAGGAGCCTCTGAACAGCAACACACATCTCAGGGAGACAGAAAGAGATGAGACTGGGCCTTTCACTCTGATCACTGAGGTCCAATTAATGACCACTGGACCGGATATTCACTAATTAGCTTTTTAAAGGGAGTCGTCTCTGCAGAACATCGGATTAAAGGAGACCACTAACAGCCTTTATCACAACGAGGTGTTAGCTGTCACCATGGTAACAACAGTCAAAAGCATGACGGGGGGGAAATCGATTTGCCGTAAATCTGCCCGGTTCCTCGACGTGGAGTTTTATATAATGTGTGACGCATAAAAACATTTGACGCGCCAAAATATAATACTGGTGTTTTTAGACTCATAGATTTCAAAATAAAAAAGGCTCATGGAGTAAATGTTTTCTAAGAGGTAACTGAAGAAAAAAGGCATGTTTTTCAAAATAAAAGCCCAAAAGAGGAAATGTATCCTGACAGGAAGATTAGGGGGCAGCATGTTTTTCAAAATAAAGCACCATAAAGGAAATGTATCCTTAAAGTAAGTTCAGGATGAGGCATGTTTTTCAAAATAATAGCCCCAGAAAATGTTACCTGTGAAGGTGTTCTACATGTTACCTGTGAAGGTGTTCTACATGTTACCTGTGAAGGTGCATCTCACCTGTGAAGGTGTGCTACGTGTTACCTGTGAGGGTGCGCTACGTGTTACCTGTAAACTTGTTACCTGTGCAGGTGTTCTACATGTTACCTGTGCAGGTGTTCTACATGTTACCTGTGAAGGTGTTCTACATGTTACCTGTGCAGGTGTTCTACATGTTACCTGTGAAGGTGTTCTACATGTTACCTGTGCAGGTGTTCTACATGTTACCTGTGAAGGTGCGCTGCATGTTACCTGTGCAGGTGTTCTACATGTTACCTGTGCAGGTGTTCTACATGTTACCTGTGCAGGTGCGCTGCATGTTACCTGTGAAGGTGTTCTACATGTTACCTGTGCAGGTGTTCTACATGTTACCTGTGCAGGTGCGCTGCATGTTACCTGTGAAGGTGTTCTACATGTTACCTGTGCAGGTGTTCTACATGTTACCTGTGAAGGTGTTCTGCATGTTACCTGTGAAGGTGTTCTACATGTTACCTGTGAAGGTGTTCTACATGTTACCTGTGAAGGTGTTCTGCATGTTACCTGTGAAGGTGTTCTACATGTTACCTGTGAAGGTGTTCTACATGTTACCTGTGAAGGTGTTCTACATGTTACCTGTGCAGGTGTTCTACATGTTACCTGTGAAGGTGTTCTACATGTTACCTGTGCAGGTGTTCTACATGTTACCTGTGCAGGTGTTCTACATGTTACCTGTGCAGGTGTTCTACATGTTACCTGTGCAGGTGTTCTACATGTTACCTGTGAAGGTGCGCTGCATGTTACCTGTGAAGGTGCTCTACATGTTACCTGTGCAGGTGTTCTACATGTTACCTGTGCAGGTGTTCTACATGTTACCTGTGAAGGTGCGCTGCATGTTACCTGTGAAGGTGTTCTACATGTTACCTGTGAAGGTGCTCTACATGTTACCTGTGAAGGTGTTCTACATGTTACCTGTGAAGGTGTTCTACATGTTACCTGTGAAGGTGTTCTACATGTTACCTGTGAAGGTGTTCTACATGTTACCTGTGAAGGTGTTCTACATGTTACCTGTGAAGGTGCGCTGCATGTTACCTGTGAAGGTGTTCTACATGTTACCTGTGAAGGTGCGCTGCATGTTACCTGTGAAGGTGCTCTACATGTTACCTGTGAAGGTGTTCTACATGTTACCTGTGAAGGTGCGCTGCATGTTACCTGTGAAGGTGTTCTACATGTTACCTGTGAAGGTGCATCTCACCTGTGAAGGTGTTCTACATGTTACCTGTGAAGGTGCATCTCACCTGTGAAGGTGTTCTACATGTTACCTGTGAAGGTGCATCTCACCTGTGAAGGTGTTCTACATGTTACCTGTGAAGGTGCTCTACATGTTACCTGTGAAGGTGTTCTACATGTTACCTGTGAAGGTGCGCTGCATGTTACCTGTGAAGGTGCGCTGCATGTTACCTGTGAAGGTGCATCTCACCTGTGAAGGTGTTCTACATGTTACCTGTGAAGGTGCATCTCACCTGTGAAGGTGTTCTATATGTTACCTGTGAAGGTGTTCTATGTGTTACGTGTGAAGGTGTTCTACATGTTACCTGTGAAGGTGCACTGCATGTTACCTGTGCTCTCTGTCTCACCTGTGAAGGAGCGCTGCAGGACAGCCCCCCGCTGATCTCCCCTATGCGAGCAGCAGCTGTGGGGTTGCTGGAGCTGATGAGCACCGGGCCGCTGATCTCCATGGAGTGCCTCTGAGGGGGCGGAGCCAGCAGGGGCTTGTGGGACATGGTGAGGGAGGTGAAGGAGTGTCTCTTCTTGCTGTTCTTCTTCTCTGATGCTCTCCCATTCATCTGAGAGGACGCCCCCTCCCCCGAGTCTCCACTGGACTCTGAAGGCTTGTCCAACTCGATCAGCTGACGGGCCGCAGAGTTAAACTGAGAGGGAGGAGAGAGGTACACACATCCTTTACTCAAGTACAAGTACACACATCCTTTACTCAAGTACAAGTACACACATCCTTTACTCAAGTACAAGTACACACATCCTTTACTCAAGTAGAAGTACAGATACTCGTGTTTAAAAATACTCTGGTAAAACTAGAAGTACTGACTAAACTTCTTTACTCAAGTAAAAGTAAAGAAGTATGGGCTTTGAAATGTACTTGAAAATAATCAGATAACATATTTATATATATATTCATATATAATCCTTTATTTTTAAAGTAATAAAATATATAAAATAAATAAAGCAATAAAATAATAAATATAAAATATTCTCTAATTAATCAATTGTATATTTTTTAAAGAATAAAATCATTTTTAAATCTAAAAAATAACATTTCTTGAGGCAATAAAATCATTGTTATGGTGTTCTTTGATATCCATGTAAAGGCTGCGTACATGGAGCCGTCGCTACAGCCAGGGTTCATGACCTCCATCAGATGAACCCTCTCAATACGAGCCGGACGTATCACCCTCAGGACTCATTTAACATCAACACACACATTACCCATCACTCATATTACTGAGAGCTCTGATCTTTATCATCATGGACTGATGCATTAATAATGAGCTCTAACTCACAGGACGCCGTTAAGAGGAAGAGCAACGGAGATACTAACCAGGGTGTCTCTAGAAAGATAGAGCATGATGATCATGCTTATAAGATATATGAAGATAACATGACCCCGTATACAAGATGTCTCCTGACCTAAACAACAACATGACCTAAACAACAACGTGACGTAAACAACAACGTGACGTAAACAACAACGTGACGTAAACAAGATGTCTCCTGACGTAAACAACAACGTGACGTAAACAACAACGTGACGTAAACAACAACGTGACATAAACAAGATGTCTCCTGACGTAAACAACAACGTGACGTAAACAAGATGTCTCCTGACGTAAACAACAACGTGACGTAAACAAGATGTCTCCTGACGTATACAACAACGTGACATAAACAAGATGTCTCCTGGCGTAAACAACAACGTGACGTAAACAAGATGTCTCCTGACGTATACAACAACGTGACGTAAACAAGATGTCTCCTGGCGTAAACAACAAGGTGACGTAAACAAGATGTCTCCTGACGTAAACAACAACGTGACGTAAACAAGATGTCTCCTGGCGTAAACAACAAGGTGACGTAAACAAGATGTCTCCTGACGTAAACAACAACGTGACGTAAACAACAACGTGACGTAAACAAGATGTCTCCTGACGTAAACAACAACGTGACGTAAACAACAACGTGACGTAAACAACAACGTGACATAAACAAGATGTCTCCTGACGTAAACAACAACGTGACGTAAACAAGATGTCTCCTGACGTAAACAACAACGTGACGTAAACAAGATGTCTCCTGACGTATACAACAACGTGACATAAACAAGATGTCTCCTGGCGTAAACAACAACGTGACGTAAACAAGATGTCTCCTGACGTATACAACAACGTGACGTAAACAAGATGTCTCCTGGCGTAAACAACAAGGTGACGTAAACAAGATGTCTCCTGACGTAAACAACAACGTGACGTAAACAAGATGTCTCCTGGCGTAAACAACAAGGTGACGTAAACAAGATGTCTCCTGACGTAAACAACAACGTGACGTAAACAACAACGTGACGTAAACAACAACGTGACATAAACAAGATGTCTCCTGACGTAAACAACAACGTGACGTAAACAAGATGTCTCCTGACGTAAACAACAACGTGACGTAAACAAGATGTCTCCTGACGTATACAACAACGTGACATAAACAAGATGTCTCCTGACGTAAACAACAACGTGACGTAAACAAGATGTCTCCTGACGTAAACAACAACGTGACGTAAACAAGATGTCTCCTGACGTATACAACAACGTGACATAAACAAGATGTCTCCTGGCGTAAACAACAACGTGACGTAAACAAGATGTCTCCTGACGTATACAACAACGTGACATAAACAAGATGTCTCCTGGCGTAAACAACAACGTGACGTAAACAAGATGTCTCCTGACGTATACAACAACGTGACATAAACAAGATGTCTCCTGACGTAAACAACAACGTGACGTAAACAAGATGTCTCCTGACGTAAACAACAACGTGACGTAAACAAGATGTCTCCTGACGTATACAACAACGTGACATAAACAAGATGTCTCCTGGCGTAAACAACAACGTGACGTAAACAAGATGTCTCCTGACGTATACAACAACGTGACGTAAACAAGATGTCTCCTGGCGTAAACAACAACGTGACGTAAACAAGATGTCTCCTGACGTATACAACAACGTGACGTAAACAAGATGTCTCCTGGCGTAAACAACAAGGTGACGTAAACAAGATGTCTCCTGACGTAAACAACAACATGACGTCGGAGCTCCGTAAAAACAAAGCTGTCTCTGCCGTCTGACATGAACACACCATAGTACACCTTTATTCACCCATATTGCATGTCCGCCCGTTACTTCTCAGATTCATGATTTGGTGTAAAGATGCCTGAAAATATTATAAAAAGGTCCATCCAAGTTCCTCAGAGTGCAAGGCCATAAGTGAAATGCTTTAATCTAACGCACTTTGAGGACATGATTAACAGTTTTTCACTTGTATTGTGAAGATGTTGACCTGGAAGAGTGGAACACATAAGCAGTTTGTTTTGTTCAAACACATAGCTGACAAAGCAGGGTGTTTCTAGAAAGATATAGCATGAGTTCTGTGTCTCTGATCTGGTTTATAAGATATATCAATTCTCTTGAGAACATGATGCCTGTAAACAAGATGTCTCAACAACGTGACGTAAACAACAACGTGACGTAAACAACAACGTGACGTAAACAACAACGTGACGTAAACAACAACGTGACGTCGGAGCTCTGTATAAACAAATCTGTCTCTGCGTCTGACGCTCTGTTTGATTCTCAGATTTCTGGAGGAATTAAACCGTTTCTGAGGAACAGAGATATTGTTTTCTGGCATCACTTTCTACGGGGAACATCTGCATTCTGGTTTGAGGGCGCGCGCCGAGAGGAAGAGAGTTCAGTTACTTCTAAACAAATGGACCATCCTGACCGTTTTATCCAAGCTTTAGAAACAAAGAGTATTCATCCTGTGTGAATCTGTGCTGTTTTTCATTCTAACCCGGTTGCTGTTTAAACTCCTGAAGCTCCATCCTATCTCATCTTATTTATTCCACTGATGCTCGGTGACATTTTCGAGAACTTACCTCAACATATGAGATGGGGAATATTCCAATTTTGTCTCCCAGCATGCCCTCTGCCCAGTTGTCGTCCACTCTGCGGATCACCGTCAGGACGTCGTCCTGCAGGGAGACAGAGGAGGAGGAAGCTCATTAAGAATCTGCAGACTAAGAGCTGCTGGAGCTGAGGGAGGAAACACTGAGGTAATGAGGGGGGGGGCTTCATTAAAGGGGCTTTCAGGAGGAAAACACAGGCTGAAAAACTGCTGAATCAGCAAGTTACTGTTTATAGCTCACATACAGAGGGAGGGGAAGTACTCAGAATGTGTACTTGAGTAAAAGTACTCAGTTTGAATGACTTCGTATACGGCAGGTAGCTTGTGAATTGACTCCAGGTGGAACTAAAGCGCCTCACCTTAGAGAAGGAGATCTCAGAGGTAATGAGTCGTGTGAGTTTTACTTCAGCGCCTCACCTTAGAGAAGGAGATCTCAGAGGTAATGAGTCGTGTGAGTTTTACTTCAGCGCCTCACCTTAGAGAAGGAGATCTCAGAGGTAATGAGTCGTGTGAGTTTTACTTCAGCGCCTCACCTTAGAGAAAGGCAGGCAGTCTTTGTCCGCCTCCTTGTCTTTCAGCTCGAAGTCGTACAGAGCCTTGCACTGGGGGGGGGGGCAGCGGCAGCGGCTTGATGACCTGCACAAAGTTAGTGGGAAAGAAGCCGTGCACCCCCCCCATCTCTCCGTGGTACCAGTTCTCGTCCACCTGCCGGCGCAGGATGATGATGTCACCCTTGATGAACTTGAGGTCTCCTGGTTCCTTGCCATCGTAGTTGTAGAGCGCCTTGGCACAGGGCAGCTGGGGAACACCCTGGAAAAGAGAGGGTAGAGAACATGAGGAACAGAGAGGGTAGAGAACATGAGGAACAGAGAGGGTAGAGAACATGAGGAAGGGTAGAGAACATGAGGAACAGAGAGGGTAGAGAACATGAGGAACAGAGAGGGTAGAGAACATGAGGAACAGAGAGGGTAGAGAACGTGAGGAACAGAGAGGGTAGAGAACGTGAGGAACAGAGAGGGTAGAGAACGTGAGGAACAGAGAGGGTAGAGAACATGAGGAACAGAGAGGGTAGAGAACATGAGGAAGGGTAGAGAACATGAGGAAGGGTAGAGAACACGAGGAACAGAGAGGGTAGAGAACACGAGGAACAGAGAGGGTAGAGAACACGAGGAACAGAGAGGGTAGAGAACGTGAGGAACAGAGAGGGTAGAGAACGTGAGGAACAGAGAGGGTAGAGAACGTGAGGAACAGAGAGGGTAGAGAACGTGAGGAACAGAGAGGGTAGAGAACGTGAGGAACAGAGAGGGTAGAGAACGTGAGGAACAGAGGGGGTAGAGAACATGAGGAACAGAGAGGGTAGAGAACACGAGGAACAGAGAGGGTAGAGAACACGAGGAACAGAGAGGGTAGAGAACACGAGGAACAGAGGGGGTAGAGAACACGAGGAACAGAGGGGGTAGAGAACACGAGGAACAGAGAGGGTAGAGAACACGAGGAACAGAGGGGGTAGAGAACACGAGGAACAGAGAGGGTAGAGAACACGAGGAACAGAGGGGGTAGAGAACACGAGGAACAGAGAGGGTAGAGAACATGAGGAACAGAGAGGGTAGAGAACACGAGGAACAGAGAGGGTATAGAACACGAGGAACAGAGAGGGTAGAGAACACGAGGAACAGAGGGGGTAGAGAACACGAGGAACAGAGAGGGTAGAGAACATGAGGAACAGAGAGGGTAGAGAACATGAGGAACAGAGAGGGTAGAGAACATGAGGAACAGAGGGGGTAGAGAACATGAGGAACAGAGAGGGTAGAGAACATGAGGAACAGAGAGGGTAGAGAACATGAGGAACAGAGAGGGTAGAGAACATGAGGAACAGAGGGTAGAGAACATGAGGAACAGAGAGGGTAGAGAACATAAGGAACAGAGAGGGTAGAGAACACGAGGAACAGAGAGGGTAGAGAACATGAGGAACAGAGAGGGTAGAGAACATGAGGAACAGAGAGGGTAGAGAACATGAGGAACAGAGAGGGTAGAGAACATGAGGAACAGAGAGGGTAGAGAACATGAGGAACAGAGGGGGTAGAGAACATGAGGAACAGAGAGGGGAGAGAACATGAGGAACAGAGAGGGTAGAGAACATGAGGAACAGAGAGGGTAGAGAACATAAGGAACAGAGAGGGTAGAGAACACGAGGAACAGAGAGGGTAGAGAACATGAGGAACAGAGAGGGTAGAGAACATGAGGAACAGAGAGGGTAGAGAACACGAGGAACAGAGAGGGTAGAGAACATGAGGAACAGAGAGGGTATAGAGAACATGAGGAACAGAGAGGGTAGAGAACATGAGGAACAGAGAGGGTAGAGAACATGAGGAACAGAGAGGGTAGAGAACATGAGGAACAGAGAGGGTATAGAGAACATGAGGAACAGAGAGGGTATAGAGAACATGAGGAACAGAGAGGGTATAGAGAACATAAGGAACAGAGAGGGTAGAGAACACGAGGAACAGAGAGGGTAGAGAACATGAGGAACAGAGAGGGTAGAGAACATGAGGAACAGAGAGGGTAGAGAACACGAGGAACAGAGAGGGGAGAGAACATGAGGAACAGAGAGGGTAGAGAACATGAGGAACAGAGAGGGTATAGAGAACATGAGGAACAGAGAGGGTATAGAGAACATGAGGAACAGAGAGGGTAGAGAACACGAGGAACAGAGAGGGTAGAGAACACGAGGAACAGAGAGGGTATAGAGAACATGAGGAACAGAGAGGGTATAGAGAACATGAGGAACAGAGAGGGTAGAGAACATGAGGAACAGAGAGGGTATAGAGAACATGAGGAACAGAGAGGGTAGAGAACACGAGGAACAGAGAGGGTAGAGAACATGAGGAACAGAGAGGGTATAGAGAACATGAGGAACAGAGAGGGTAGAGAACATGAGGAACAGAGGGGGTAGAGAACATGAGGAACAGAGAGGGTAGAGAACATGAGGAACAGAGAGGGTATAGAGAACATGAGGAACAGAGAGGGTAGAGAACATGAGGAACAAGAAGAGGGTAGAGAGAACATAGGAACGGAGGTAGAGAACATGAGGAAAGAGAGGGTAGAGAACATGAGGAACAGAGGGGGTAGAGAACATGAGGAACAGAGAGGGTAGAGAACATGAGGAACAGAGAGGGTATAGAGAACATGAGGAACAGAGAGGGTAGAGAACATGAGGAACAGAGGGGGTAGAGAACATGAGGAACAGAGGGGTAGAGAACATGAGGAACAGAGAGGGTAGAGAACATGAGGAACAGAGAGGGTAGAGAACACGAGGAACAGAGGGGGGTAGAGAACATGAGGAACAGAGGGGGGTAGAGAACATGAGGAACAGAGGAGGGTAGAGAACATGAGGAACAGAGAGGGTAGAGAACATGAGGAACAGAGGGGGTAGAGAACATGAGGAACAGAGGGGGTAGAGAACATGAGGAACAGAGAGGGTAGAGAACATGAGGAACAGAGGGGGTAGAGAACATGAGGAACAGAGAGGTTCTCCTGGAATCAGGTCTGAGGTTAACTCAAGCTGAAGAGATAGCAGTTGGAGATGAACTAAACGTGTATGAACGTTTGTTTGACACAGAGATTGTTTTCTGAAGAGGGAAGTTACCTATTAGTTTCAGTGCATGTAAACGGTCTGCTGCGGCTAACATCCCTGTGCTCTCTGAGCTTCTCTCACACACAGTTTTCAATTTAAACAACATTTGTTATATCCTCATTACAAACAAACAGGAAACAGGAGTGAGTGTGTGTGTTCACAGTGTGTGTGTTCACAGTGACAGTGTGTGTGTGTGTGTGTGT